CCAGAGACCTGACAAAAATGAGACTTTCCCTGGTCTGCTTTATAAAAGTAGTCCAATTCTACCTTTATTTGCTGGGTTTTCTTTGTCATCTAAATGTAAGTTTTCTTTTCCAACATTCTGCCTTCTACATTTTCTCTTTACTTTCTACTCAGTTTCTTGGCAATTTCATCCAGTCCTATAATTTAAACTATTGCCTCTCTAAAAATTGAAGTTTGTTTTTCTAGATATGACTTCTCACCTGAGCTCCTGTCCTACATTGCCGACGTGCTTGTAGGATGTAGTCACTGAAATGACTTTAAACTGAAGTTAGCATTCTTTTTCACTGGTCTCCAAGACTATTTCCTTATTTTCCCTTTTCTGTTAATGGCATTGATCAGTCTTTCCTGCCTCTTTGGTTTTCTGGCCTCAGTACCTTTTGTGTATTCCCTTTGTCTGGGTACTCTTTCTTTTGTTGAAATTCTGCCTGACCATGTATCCAATTGGTTGCCAGATCTTAACTATTTCTGCCTTTACCTCTCTCATCTGACCTCTTCTATTCACACAGCCACCACCTTAGCTCAGACCTTCATTACCTCTTGCCTGAATTATTGCAGCAACCTCCCAATTTATGTCTCTGCTCCAGTCATTCCTACACATTGCTACCAAAGTAATTTTCCTCTCAGATACAGTAGAAATTCCTTTATTTGGTTTTTAAAGCCCTTTACAACCTGATCCCAACTTGTCTTTGCAGCCTCACCATCTAGTCAAACTGACTTTCTCTCTGTTCACCCATCTCTCTTTTCACTGGCTGGCCTCAGTGCTTAGGGGTGTACTCCCTCCTTGTGTTTGCCTCAGATACCATCTTTTTCCCTGATCTCTTAGAATTTCTCAATTTCAACTACTAATACTCTTACAAACTACATTGTGTTTAAGTGCTTTGTTTCTGTTTTTATTTTTTAGCTTTATATTTAAGCTATGAATGTTTTTATATGTAGTTGTTTTTTACCCTGATAGAATTAAGTACCTTGAGAATAGGAACTGTTGCATTTTTTCATCATATCCTCTTTGGCACATGGTAGACATTTAATGTATATTGAGAAGTCCTTTGAGGCCTGCCTCAGCTACCATTTCTACCCTTGTTTTCCCCTTTCACCTGAATGTGTTTGCCTTTTTGGGTGGAGGGGGATCCCTTGTGGCACTTTGTATCACTTCGGTGAGCTTTGGTTTGTACTGTACTTATTAGGGTACTTATCAAGCCCTGGCCTTCTGGAAATGAATACTAACTTAAACAGGCATTTGACAAATGCTTATTGAATTGAATTACTGCCAGACCCCCTTCACCAAACAAGTTTCCTAAATGTGCTGCAGCTTCCAGTCATGATAATCATTTGCATGAGCTCCAGGTGCCCATGAGGTCCTTCAGGGTACCACTGAGAGCAATAGGGGGCAGAGTTGGACTGCCTTCACAGTGCAGGCCTGACATCATCCCATGGTTTCAAGTGTTCAGGCAGTATTAGTAATGAGTGTTAGTAACAGCAAGAACAGCCAGCTTCTGTAAACATTATTAGACCATGGGCCAATTGTCAAGTGACATTCTAGAGTTATCCTAACTGGGGTGGGGGGGAAGTGTATGATTAATGCTAGTGACTAAAGTAGTCCAGCATTTAATATATTTGTATCATTCAGTGTTGATAAAGCTGTCAGTTTTCCTTGGTTTGTCTGTTTTAGTCAACAGGTTATCTTTTGCTTTCTTTGGTATGATTTATTTAACTGAACCTTTTACCTGGTTTTTATTAAAGCTATTTCTGAGACCAGAGACACAGGGACTTTTTAGACTTAGCAACATTTCATAGCAATAGTCCCTAACTTTATCCTTTTATCCTAGTTCATAAATATGCTTCAGAGGTCTCATAAATTGCTCAAAGATCTAGATAGAGTGACTCTACCTTATTTCTACAACTTCTTGAGATTCCCTGTCAATTGGTAGAGTTTTTTGTTTGTTTTTTTTAAATACCTTATCTAAATGCACTCATAGCATACATAACAGTTCATTCATGATAAAGTTATGACCACTCTATTCTTATGCCTTCTCCATAGGAAAATCCAGGTACAATGTACTCTGGTTAGAAGCAGAAGATGTGTATTTTTTGAGGCATAAGAAGGGACAGGTTGCCTGTGCTCCCGTTGTTCCTTACTGTTAAACCTGCAAAGAGGTGGGGTCCAAAAGCCTGTTTTGCCATTGTTTCTCTGAAGCCATAGTGGTCTTGTAAATGCCAGTCTCAAAAATTAGTCACCAAATCATCATTTTAAAGAAACTGTATTTTGCTTTTTGTCTTGTCCTCTCATTCTTTTTGCAAGTAAAAAGGTTTGAAAAAAACATTTATAGATTTAGAAAATTTGGTTTCTTGGCAGTTGGTTTTTCTGCTTCATTTGAGACTGTTGACTTTCTGGACTCTGGGGTGTTTTGATAGTACCAGTTAATTGCATTTGACTAAAAAATGAAAGAATAACTCAGAGTTTTATTACTGCTATTACATAGTAATGACAATTATCTTAGTGGGTACCTGGCCCAACAAGGGTAATGTATATATGTGTATATGATTTTATTGATTCTTTTTGTCTTTGCATTATGTATTTCTCTCTTTCTCTCACTCACACACACAAATAATCTTCATCCAGATGGAGCTCTCTTTTGTTACAAAGAAAAATAATTAAACAAAAACATATGATACATAGACAATGTCTAACAATAACTAGCAAAGAATATTATAGTAGTCGTGTTTCCCCCCCCGCCGCTGTCTGCCAACAGATTGCGTTCTCATCAGCTTCTCCCAAATTACTGGTTTCTTCCTTTTTGCCTTTAAACAGCCTCAAATCTTTTCCTGTTCTTAAAAAACCTTCACTAAATCCTATCATCCCCTCAAACTATCCTGCTATATCCTTCCTCCCTTTGTCAGCCAAGGTCTGAGAAAAAAGCAGTGTGCTTTTCTTTGTTTAGCTCACTTCACTTTCTCTTCAACCCTTTGGAATTTGGCTTCCAACCTCATCACTCAACTGCTGTCACCCAAATTACCAGTGATTTCTCAATTACCAAGTCATTTTTTGCTGAGTGCTTACCACTTGGTTTTTCTGCTGTGTTTGACACTGTTGACTACTGTCTGGACTCTGGATTTTTTTTTTGACACTCTTCTTCTGGTCCTCCTCCTTTCCTCAGTCTTCTTTGCTGGCACATCCATACCATACTCTTGTTTCCCAAGTTTTATTAGGCCCTTTTATTTTCTCCCTGTATACTCATCTTTAACAATACCTAAACCTACATGTGTTTGTATATGTACACATATCCATACGTACATATGTATGTATGCATCTGTGTACCTCAGTGTGCCAACTGCTAGTGCCTTCCCTTCCAAACTACCTTATGTTTAACTACTTTGTATTTATTAACTTAATTCTGTATATTGTGTATATCCTTGTCTCTCCCATTAGAATGTAAGCTCCTTGTGAGTAGGAATCATTTTATGCTTTTACTTGTATCCCCAGTGCCTGGCACATAGCTTAATAAATACTTGTTAACTGAATGATTGCATACCTCAGGGTGCCTCTTCTCACACAGCCCTTCCAGCATTGACTGTTCTCATTTTTTCTTTACCTTTGCCAATTTCTGTGAAGTGAGATGAAACTTGAATTGCTTTATTTTTATTTCTCTTATAATTGGTGATTTGGGGCATAATTTCATGTGGTCATTTATAATTTGCAGATCTACTCCTGAGAACTGTTTAAATCCTAACTAACTACTTATTAGGAATGGATTTTTTTTTAAATTGTTTTTGTGGTTTCTAGCAGGTGTGTAAGCAGAAACAAGATACTTCTGTGACTATCTTTGTTAATTTTGCCCAGACTGGAAATTAAGATGCATGGGTGTGTGCCCAAAGCAGTTGTACCTTTCCAAAAATTAAAAGAAATAGGAAGTTGGTTTTAGAAGTTTGCTATTGTCAATAATAAAGGTTTAAATTTCTTGAGCTGTGAGACCTCTTTTTAAAGGACCCTTTTTGTTAGTACCAGGTGATTGTATTTTACTAAAAAATGAAAGAATAACTGAGATTTTTAACTTCCCAGGCTGAGAGGCCAGTGATGTGGAATATGTTGCTGAAACACAAGTGGTTCAGAAATAAAACTCTGACCCATGCCCTAAATAAAACCTTTGGGATAAATGGATGGTGTACATATGAACCCTAATATACCAATGTCCTTTTTTCCTGGCACCATAGAAAATGAGGGTTCTCAGAATTGAGGGCAAAAATAGTTGTTGTTTTATTATGAAATGGGCTTTGGCAATTAGATTGACATTTATGTCCAGTGAACATCTGTTTTAACCCTGATGCCACCTTATACCCTGTGGGGACAAAGTGCTCTCATAAGTAAACTACTGTTCATCAGCAAATGCAGTATCAGCTGTGTTTCAGTACGTCTCTTTCTTTGGTTGCTTCCCTGGTAAATGGGAAACATTTTTTCATCACTGCTTATTGGTCCTTATTAACCAGAGTGACACTTTCTTCTCCAGACTCCCACTGACTTGGATTTGGGGAGACCATTGACTGGCTTGAGACTTTCAAGCATGTTGTGAAGCGGCATTGTTAGGTTAGCTTTTCTTCATGACTACTTTTCCAGTTCTAGAGCAGTGTCAGAGATTGAGGTCTGCAACTTTTTCTGTCACAGCTCTGCTTGATTGTCAGATTAGTTCCTTATATCTGTGACTACTTAGATTTGAGTTTGGCTACAGTGGCAGTTATAAAAATTCCTTGTTAACTTGTTGCAAGGAATCTTGGATCCTGAGCAAGGTATTATTGGGAAAATTTGACTGTTAATTGTACAATCCTGTTTTCTTTTCTTTGTTGCTAGGATCTGTAGGATACACAAGGCCAGTAGGCAGAGATGCTGCCAAACTGTACCACTGGAGAGAGCCCAGAATGGTACGTGTGAATGTACATAGGGCTTAACTTGTAACCCTTTTTTTTTCTCAGTTTGATGAAGGTCGAAACAACTTCGAAGGAGAGATTACCAAGGAGAACCTGCTGACTTTTGTTAATTATCACCGGCTGCCCTTGGTCATTGAGTTCACTGAACAGGTATGAGGCTTTGCTATACAACATACTACTAACTCGTTAAGGGAGAGTTCAAGAATTGGGAAGCAAGAAGGACCTGTGTTTCTGTTCCAGCAGATCATTTATCGCTTTGGACCTCAGGTAGCAGAAATCCCCCTCACCCTCTGGTCAGATGCCTGTCATATATCTCTCACGCTACTTCCTTCCATCCTAATCCCTGTGATAGTGAAGTGCTGGCTGCCTAAGAGCAAGCCACCCCATTCCAAGCTCCCACTGCTGTACTCTTCATCCTGGAAACCTGAACCCTACCCTTCCAATATCCTACTCTATTCCCATCTTCCCCTTCCATTATCCCCCAAGAATTCTCATTCCTTAACTGACGAGGCTGATTAACCCCCAGATTACTGTCTTTTCCATTCCCATGACTGAAATTTTCTTCTACCTTAGCTCCACATAGGGATAGAAGATCACACTCTTGATTTTTACCATTATTCACAAGTCTCCAGTTTTCCATGTTCAAAACCTCCAAAATGCCTTTATCAGATAATATATAACCTCTTGTCGATAATCTCTTATGCCTTAGCCTTCTTAAAGCCATTTATTTTTTGTCCTCATGAGACCTTCAATCCCTTGATTCCTCAGTACTCTCCTAGGGTATCATTCCAACTCTAACTTTACTTTTCTCCCTCCCCAATCTCAACACATAGTTAACTGGTTTAACTCTGCATTGTCCTCTGCTCTCAAAGCTCTTGTCCCCTAGTCCTATCAACACTGATGTCTTGTCAGACCCTATCCTTGGGTTACTCCCATCACCTGCCTCCTCAGATCCTATTTAGGTGCTCGTGAAGGGAACTAGAGGAAATCATGAAGCCAGGTTGAAAACAAAGATTTAAGTATTGTGATCCCACTTGGAGCCCTTAGCAGAAAGGCAGTCCTTTTAGTCCTCACTGTTAATTCTCTATTGCATTTCCCACAGATCAGATTCCAAACCTGTTCTGTTCTCCTCACACCTCCCAGACCATCTCCTTTCTCTACTCTCAGCTGAGTACTTTGCTTCATATTCTGTTGAAAAAATAGAAACTGTTCACCGTAAGTTCCTCCTCCATTTCTCTGCATGTCACAATCCATTGTTCTGATCCTTCTATTCATCCTCTCCTTTTACTCCAATCTCTGAAAATGTGACCTTGCTTGCCAAAGTCAGCCTTTCAACATTTACCCTTGATCACATCCCTTCTTGCCTTCTCCATCAACTTGCTCCCCCTCCACAGTAATCCCCTTTTTCTAATCTTCTGATCTTTTCCTACTGCCTACAGACATGCCCATGTCCTTCCATCCTTAAACCTAACTAGATTTTGTCATCTTTTTATGTCTCTGCTCCCATTCCCATGCCACGCTTCTAGAAAAAGCTGTTTATACCTAATTGCTTTTATTTCCCTTCTCAGTCACTTTTCGTCCCTGAGCAATTTGACTGTCTCAGATGCTGAATTGAAATTGTTCTGTCCAAAGTTCCTAGTGATCTATTAAATGCCAAATCTGGCCTTTTCTGTAGCCTCATACTTCTTGACCTCTCAACAGTATTGACTCTCTCCTCTTTGGGTTTTTCCTGATAACTGCTCACTTGGTTCTCCTTTCCATCAGATCACTCCTTTTCAGTCTTCTGTGTTGGATCATCACCTGTATCATGTCACCTAATATTTGGTGTACCCTCAACAGACCATTTTTGGTACTTTATTCTCTCTGCATTCTCACCTGCTAACCTCATTAACTTCCATGGATTTAGTGATCTCTAGCCAGATGATTTCCTAGATCTCTATATCCAACCCTAGTATCTCTCATGAACTCTAGTTGAGCATACTTCTTTTTTTGCTTTTTGATGAGGCAGTCAGGGTTAAGTGACTTGCCCAGGGTCACAGAGCTAGTAAGTGTGAAGTGTCTGAATTTGGGTCCTTCTGACTCCAAGGCCGCATCTTTATCCACTGTGCTTGAGCATACTTCTAACTGAATATCCCACGGGCCTCTCCTACCCCCATGCCTCTTCCCTCTGTTATCCTTTAACTCTCCCAGTTTCTTAACCTCAGCATTGTCCTCACTCTCCCTCACTCCACTTAATAAACATTTAATAAACACCTTCTGTGTGCTAGACACTGGAGATACAGACAAAATTTATGTATCCAATCACCAAGGCTTAACACTACTAACATCTCTCAAATCTGACCCCTTTTCTTCTTCACCTTACCACCACCCTGTTTTAGGCTTTTAATTACCTTTCTCCTGGATTATGCAGTAGTCTCCTAATTGAACTCCTTACCTCTGAAGTGTGTTCTTCAATTGATCCTCCGTATTGCTGCTATAATGATTTTCCAAAAGCACAAATGTGACTGTATCATTCTCCCACTATGTAAACTCCATTGGTGCCCTATTATGTCTAGGATCAAATGCAAACTCTTCTGTTTGACATTTAAAGTCCTTCACAACTTGATTCCAACCTACTTTCCCAGTCTCCCCTTCCTGTACTTTTCAGTAAGCCCCAACTGGCTTTCTTTGGTTTTTTATGCTTGGTCTTCCATCTCTGTCTCCTGTCCCTCATACTCCCTCCTCACTTTTGCCTCTTAGAATTCCGTGTTTCCATAAAAACTTGACAAAACTCCTATGTCATGAAACTTTTCTTGATCACTTCCCCCCAGATTGTATTTATTTTATACGTGCCTTTTCGTGTAGGTGTTGGTTCCCATTTCAATAAAATATAAGCCCATTGAGGTCAGGAACTGTGTTTATTCTTTGTATCCCCAGGGTCCATCATATAATAGGTGCCTAGTGAACTCTTGATTGAGTCCATGTAGTTGGTAAGTTAAAAATGATTGCTGAGTAACCTCTGGTTTCCTAAATGTGTGAGTGACAGATGAAGGCCCTGAATGGGAAGTGCTTTCGAAAGAGTCATTCCTTTTTCTCTTTCTTCAACATGTGTTTCTGTGTTAACCAGACGGCTCCCAAAATTTTTGGAGGTGAAATTAAGACTCATATCCTGTTATTCCTGCCAAAGAGTGTTTCTGACTATGATGACAAACTGAATAACTTCAAAAAAGCAGCAGAAAGCTTCAAAGGCAAGGTACGTGACTTTTAACAATGATTTTATAGAGCAAAAGTAAATTTTTAGGGGAAAATGACAAAGCAAAGATGTCTGGGTCCCTGATACCTCTTGTACAATTCAGAGAAATATTTATATAGACTTATAAATACAGGTTTTAGTAGCTCTAGATACATTTTTAGGCAGGAAGGAATCCTACCTTGCCTGAGGTAAAATCATGATAAGATTGTTTATTTTTCTGTACAATCAGAAATAAATGGAATGTTGATTAAGGAGTTATTGACTGTCTTATGTGTAGGCTTAACATTCCATAGGCAGTTTTTATATTTATTAAAGTATAACAAACTGATCACAGTTTGGAGTCCTGACTATGAATTTTAAAGATCTTACCATTTTAACTGTTATCTTCCATATCCATCTTGTCAGTGGAATTGTTTGCTAAATAAAATTGCTCTCTACTGTTATACACCTTTCCCCATCTCACCCCCAAAAAAGATGTTTAATAGTTGTCAGGAGCACTAATTGTGAGTAGCTTAATGCCTTTGCTAGGCTACTTTGTTCCCACCTCTACTAGGGAAATCTTAATAGGAAATCAAAAATTTCCCTTTAAAAGGTTGTGCAGGCATTTATTATCTATTGTTTATTTCTTAAGAATGGAGGGATAAAAGGGAACGTGTGGTTTCTTTAGTACCTTTTTATACTTGCCATTTGTTGTGGCCTGGGAATATCAGATCCAAAGTTTAAACTAGGGAATATAATAACTTCTTCAGCATGAACTTGACTGCGGAAGGCAAGAATTATCTTGAATAGCTCAAATCTTTCTAATGTCAAAAATCTTTCTTTTGTTCCCAAGATCCTATTTATCTTCATTGATAGTGACCACACTGACAACCAGAGGATCCTTGAGTTCTTTGGTCTAAAGAAAGAGGAGTGCCCTGCTGTCCGCCTCATCACTTTGGAAGAGGAGATGACCAAGTACAAGCCTGAGGCAGATGAATTAACGGCAGAAAAAATAAAAGAATTCTGTGACCGATTTTTGGAGGGCAAAGTCAAGGTATTAGAGCTGAAAGGAATTCTACCATAATTTTTACAGATGAGGAAACTGAAACCTAGATTTCTTGATGATTTGGCTTAAATAGTGTAAGCATGAACCATATGTACAACCTCTCAGAGCAAGGTCATAGTCTTTTGAGCTATCTTTATCTCGGACCCCCTACAGCTTTTTGTAGAGCATCTAGCAAACAGTACACAAAGTAGGCCAAAAGGCCCATGAGACTAGATGCAGCAATGCCAGCACAAAAATAACTCCTCTTTTAATATATGGTAGCCACAATGAATCTCTCTGGCTATGGGGCCACTCAGGCACACATATCAAAGCCAGTTAGTTGTCTTTTAACCAGTGTTCCCATATCCTCAGAAAACAGAAGGATTTATGTCTCGTTTTTCTGGGAAAACCTTTGCCCCAGTTGTCCCCCTTGTAATTTGCAGTAATTGTTTGGTCTAGCACCTCAGTGCTCAGGCTTATCAGCTGAGCAGTAGGACCATGGTATAATCCCCTAGTTAAACTTCAGTCCCTCCTTGCTCAGGCTGCTTCTTTGTGAAAGGGGAATAAACCAAGATGGAGAGAAGAGTCTCATTTGACCCACTGAGCAATAGCACTGCTAGTGTAGGCCCCAGAGGCCTTCTGGAGCACTTGTTTATTGTTGGTTCCCTGTTTGATTTTTAGCCCCATTTAATGAGCCAGGACCTACCTGATGACTGGGACAAGCAGCCTGTTAAAGTACTGGTTGGGAAGAACTTTGAAGAAGTTGCTTTTGATGAAAAAAAGAATGTCTTTGTGGAATTCTGTAAGTAGATTTGTAATTTTTTCCATTTGCAATGTAGAAAGGCCTAATTGGAATAGCACAGTACTCTGTTCATAGCATGAGGGTCAGGGAGCACTGATCTCCTTGTGCTGACTGTTGACCTGTCAACCTTTACAGATGCTCCCTGGTGTGGTCACTGCAAACAGTTGGCTCCCATTTGGGACAAACTGGGAGAGACTTACAAGGATCATGAAAGTATAGTCATTGCCAAGATGGATTCAACAGCTAATGAAGTAGAGGCAGTTAAAGTCCATAGTTTCCCCACATTAAAGTTCTTCCCTGCAAGTGCTGACAGGACGGTAAGGATTTCACAGCGGAGAGAAGTGGGAGAGGGAAAGGACCAATTGCAGTGGGATGGCTTTGTCTCTGACCTTGATGTTAATGTTGGGTGGGGGTTGGGGAAGGAAAGGAAAGAGTTGCTTTTTATCTTTGAAGCTAAGCTGTGTTTGAGATTTGGGGAGGGGGGAGGGTGGGATTGATCATGGGCTGGTTAAGACTTGCTTCCATGCAAATGATGCTAGCATGTACTCTTCTCATAACCTGCCTTCCCAATGCCACTGCCTTCCCTCAAGTCCACTTGAGAGCCTCTCTATGGGATCTGTCATCCAGGGAGCCAGGAGCTAGGAAGGATCGGGTTGGGGCTGCTTTAGCGCAGAGGTAAGGGAGCTGGGAAGGGGCCTTTTGTTGGTGGGGAAGGAGTGGAAGAGCTGTAAGTGGGGGTGTGGCTTTTGGTTTTGGTACCCCACAGCAGAAGCTCTTTCCCTTGTGGGTTAATGGAAACACACATTTCCTGAGCTCCTTGACTTTGTGTAGGAAGGGAGAGGTTTTGGGGGTAAAAATTGTCAAAGGGGGGTGCAGGATTTAGAGGGTATTGGTTTCACCTTCCCCCTTTTTCCCTCGCCTCCCCTACAGGTAATTGATTACAATGGAGAGAGAACACTAGAAGGTTTCAAAAAGTTCCTGGAGAGTGGTGGGCTAGATGGGGCAGGGGATGATGATGTAAGTATTTTTTCTTTTGAATACTAGCATAGATCCATATATCCCTTCTTTAGTGAGAGAAAAATCTTTTAGTTTTTGACGAAACTATATTCTGATAGATTCTATCCTTGCACACTCTACTGCATTCCCTCCATGAATAGTTCTGACCTACAGACTTATATTGCTGTTTACAGAGTTCCTCCTACTAGGAGGAAATCATTATGTCCCTTGTTCCCCTGGCTATACTATAAACAGATCAAAGATGATGGGGTAGGACACATGGTCTTAGACAGGTTTGGGTGGAGGGCCCTCAATATTAGCACGTTCTTTTAGTCTTTGCAGTTCAAAGTGGTTTCTAACACATATATAGCTCTAGATGATTGAATGCTGTTTACTTTTAATGATCTGGATCCTAAGTTTGACGATGAAATTGCTAAGGGACTTCTTCCTTGTTTATTCTGAACTCTTTATCTTTTTAGAGAAAAACATTTGTTGAATGCTTGGTTTTTATTTCTGCTTCAGTTCAGAATGTGTGATTTTTAAAACCATCCAGTTGCTCTTTGAGTCCTTTCTAGAGTAGCCCCACCTCACCCTACCCAGTTAACCCATGGTCTCAATGGTCATCTCTGCTTTCTTCTGTTCCTTATGTATATGTCTTTGTATAATACCCTATACTGTGCTTGTCCTGTTGCAGGTAGATTGCAGCCGTCTTAAAGACACAAGTAAAGAAAAACTCTTTATTTTGTGTTTTATGCCAAATCTTCTAGAGGTAGACTTTATTACTGAAATAATTCTAGGCACCGCTGGGGTCTTGTGAATTTGGATGGGAAAAAAGTCCCATCTTTATTTTCACTGGAAACTTAGCATTTTCTTCAATTACTTAAAAATGCTTTAAGGAGGTGTCCATAGGTTTCACTGAACTACTAAGAACCTCTGGCTGAGAGAGAACCCAAGCCTTTTGAAAATACCTCTGCCCAAGCCCTTTTCCATACTTAATGTATAGGATTTGAGAACAAAGTAAAAAAAATTCCGTAATAAGATTAAATAAGAGGACGACATTTAAGGAACATTTCATCAAACAGAATAATAGTCACTCTGGAGAATCATTTTTCTAAAACCATTCCTTCCTAATTTAAACACTCCTAAGAATTCTCCTTTTTTCCTGGTCAAAGGTAAACTCCAGAGACTATCTTCTATTAATTGAATTAAAGACATCTCTTAGTACCTTAATTAATTTCAAAGAGAAGTCTGTCCTTGGCTAATTCGGCATTTTTTAAAAAAACTGATTAATCATTTAATAACATGTAAGAAGGACTTTTAGACAAGGACACTATCTTCTCTTCATTTTCTTCTGTTCAAGGGAAAACATTACTTCTTTCAAGTAAAACAAAGATTTTTTTAGACTTAAGATTATGAAAAAATACTCTTGATATTTCTAAAAGAGGGTAGGAATTAGGGGAGGAGGCGTAATGTGTTGCCATACAAGAGGTAGTGTTTTTATTTGTAGCTCCCTGTGGTTCTAAATACAGTTATTATTTGGGGAAATCCATTTTATATATTGATCAGTTACTGAAGAGGTCAAATTACAATAATTGCCTATGGCTTTTAAAGTCCTTGACACCCTGGCCCACCCTATTTTTTTAAAAATTTATTATTTTAATTTTCCCCAGTTACATATAAAAATAATTTTTGACATTCGTTTTTAAAAACTTGTTGAGTTTCCAAATTTTCTCCCTTTCCTCCTCTCCCCACCCCCCATTGAGAAAGCAAGCAATTCAATATAGGTTATACATGTGTAGTCATTCAGAACATTTCCATATTAATCATGTGAAAGAAAATATAGACCATAAAAAAAACTTGAAGAAAAATAAAGTTTTAAAAGTATGTTTCAATCTGTATTCAGATGCCATCAGTTCTTTCTCTGGGGATGGATAGCATTTTTCATCATAAGTCCTTCAGAGTTGTCTTGGATCATTGTATTGCTGAGAATAGCTAAGTTATTCACAGCTGATCATCTTACAATATTGCTGTTACTTTGTACACAGTGCATTTCACTTTGCATCAGCTCATGCAAGTCTTTCCAGGTTTCTCTGAGAGCATCCTGCTCATTATTTCTTATAGCACAATATTGTATTCCATCACAATCACATACCACAGTTTGTTCAGTCATTCCCCAATTGATGGGCATCCCCTTGATTTCCAATTCTTTGCCACCAGAAGAGAACTGCTATAAATATTTTTGTACATATAGGTCCTCTTTTGGGATACAGACCTAGCAGTGATACTGCTACTTCAAAGGGTATGCATGGTTTTATATCCCTTTGGGCATAGTTCCAAATTGCTCTACAGAATGGTTGAATCAGTTCGTAATTCCACCAGCAGTGCGTTACTATCTCATTTTTCCCACATCCCCTCCAATATTTATTATTTTCCCTTTCTGTCCTATTAGCCAATGTAATAGGTATGAGGTAGTACCTCAGAATTGTTTTAATTTGCATTTCTCCAATCAGTAGTGAGTTAGAGCACTTTCTTTAATATGGCTATAGATAGCTTTGATTACTTCATCTGAAAACTTTATATCTTTTGATGATTGATCAATTGGGAAATGGCTCTTATTTTTATAAATTTGACTCAGTTCTCTATGTGTTTGAGAAATGAAGCCTTTATCAGAAACTTGCTTCAAAATTTTTTTCAGTTACTGTTGCTAACTGTGTTTCCCTCCATCCTATCTTCCCCCCACCTCCCATTTATTCTATTCTCTCCTCTTTCACTCTGTTCCTCCTCAAAAGTATTTTGCTTCTAACTGCCTCCTTTCCCAAACTGATCTCCCTTCTATCACTCTTGTCCCCCTTCCCCTCCCCTACTTTCCTGTAGGGTAAGGTAGATTTCTGTACCCCATTGAATGTGTCTGTTGTTCTCTCTTTGAGCTAAATCTGATGAGAGTAAAGATCACTCACTTCCCATTGCCTCCTCCCTCTCCTCCACTGTAAAACCTTTTTCGTATTCAACTCAAACTTATGCCCTCTATGTGTACTCCTAACCGTCCTGATAATGAGAAAGTTCTTATGAGTTACAAATATCTTCCTATGTAGGAATGTAAACAGTTTAGCCTTATTAAGTCCCTTATGATTTCTCTTTCCTGTTTACCTTTTCATGCTTCTCTTAAGTCTTGTATTTGGAAGTCAAATTTTCTATTCAGTTCTGGTCTTCTCATCAAGAATGCTTAAAAGACATATTTCATTGAATGCCAAATTTTTCCCCTGAATGATTATACTCAGTTTGACTGGGTACATGAATCTGGGTTGTAATCCTAGTTCTTTTGTCCTCTAGAATATCATATTTCAAGCCCTCCAGTCCTTTAATGTAGAAGCTGCTAAATCTTGTGTTATCCTGACTGTGACTACATGATACTTGAATTGTTTCTTGCGATATTTTCTTCTTGGCTATAATATTCCTGGAAGTTTTCATTTTGGGATCTCTTTCAGGAGGTGATTGGTAGATTCTTTTAATTTCTATTTTACCTTCTGTTTCTAGAATATCAGGGCAGTTTTCCTTGACAATTTCTTGAAAGATGCTATATCTAGGCTCTGTTTTTTGATCATGGCTTTCAGGTAGTCCAATAATTTTTAAATGATTTCTCCTAGATCTACTTTCCAGGTTGATTTTTTTTCCAGTGAGATTTCACATTGTCTTCTGTTTTTTTCATTCTTCTGGTTTTGTTTTATTGTTTCTTGATTTCTTATAAAGTCATCAACTTCCATTCATTCACTTCTTAATTTCTAAAGAATGATTTTCTTCAGTGAGCTTTTGTACCTCTATTTCCATTTGTCCAGTTCTAATTTTTAAGGAGTTTTTTTTCCTTCAGTGAATTTTTGTTCCTTTTTCCATTTGACCAATTCTGCTTTTTAAGGTGTTCTTCTCCTAATTGGCTTTTTGTATCTCTTTTACCATTTGACCTAGTCTGTTTTTTAAGGTGTTATTTTCTTCAGTATTGTGTGTGTGTCTGTGTCTCTGTCTGTCTGTCTCCTTTACAAGCTGTTGGCTCATTTTTCATGATTTTCTTGTATCACTCTCATTTCTCTTCTCAATTTTTCCTCTACTTCTTTTATTTGATTTTCAAAATCTTTTTTGAGCTTTTTCATGGCCTGAGACCAATCAGTCATATTTTTCTTGAAGACTTTGAATGTAGAGGAGCTTTGACTTTATCTTTTTCTGAATGTATGTTTTGATCTTCCTTGTCACCACAGTAACTTTATATGGGCAGAATTTTTTTCTGTTTGCTCATTTTCCCAGCCTATTTCTTGACCTTTAACTCTTTGTTAAAGTAGTGCTCTTCTTCCAGGGTGAAGGGGGCACTGTCCCAAGCTTCAGGGGTTTTCTGCAGCTGTTTTCACAGATACTTCTAGGGACCTGTAAGTTTTCAGTTCTTTCCAGGTGGTATGATCTAAGGAGAGGTGTGTTTACTACTCTCCTGACCTATGCTCTGATCTGTGAGTGACCACAAGCACTCTTTTCTGTCCTGGAACTGTGACAAGGGTCCTTGCTCCACTGTGGCTGAAAGCTCTGGTGGGCTAGTGCTCCTCCTTGCCCTGGGACTGCCACCAAAGACTGTGACCTGTATTGGCAGGTCACAGTATTGGCAAAAGCAACAGAGTCCTACTTCAGTGCTACCAAAGAGACCTTTGTAATCTCCTTGTGACCAGTTGTTCAACCTCCTTACCAACTGTGGGCTGAGAGCTCTGGAAGCAGCTGCTGCTACTGCTGATTCAGTGACTCCCAAGGCCTGATTTGCTGGGGCTGTGGCTTGCGCTGGACTGTGCTCCACTTTCACCCAGATGTGACAGACCTTTCTTTCCTGCTGACCTAAATTGTCTTTCGCTGGAAAATTATTTCACCCCATCCTTTTATGGATTCTGCTGCTCTAGGAATGGTTTTATGGTATTATTTAAAGGTGTTTGGAGGGGTTTTGGGGAGAGCTCAGGAAAGTGACTGCCTTTTCTCTGACATCTTGGCTCCACCCCCTCCCACTCTTATCTTTCTAGATTTATTACATATTCATTCCATTCCTTGCCTTTTGAAGTTGGCCTTCTCTCTGTTTCTCACACATAGCAGTTCACCTGTGAAAGAGAAAAGTCTCTTTGCCTTTGCATTAGCCCTCCCTCCTCATCTTTACCTCACTTTCTTCAAGACTTGTCTTAAACACTACCTTCTTCATGAAGCTTTTCTTGATGTTTCCCCTCCTTCCCAACTGCAAGTGCACTCCCTGCATTCCCTGTTTTGGATTTATTCAGTAGATACTTATATGTACCACACACAGAGCCTCACCCCATAGATTGTAAGTTCCTCATGGGCAGGGACTATTTCATTTTTGTCTTTGTGTATCCAGTACTTGTCACAATGCTTAGCTTATTTGCCTTATCTTTGAACATTCTGTGTCCTCTGTACTGTTTTTTGAAAATAAATCTGAAAGACCATTGGGGTTTCCTGTAGATTGGGGTACTTGGTTTTTCTCCTTTTATGTATGAATATCCTCATTTCCCTCCCTTTGATGGGTGGGTGGAGTTGGTAAGGAGGAAGCTGCCTGATTCTTGAAACTAATACCTGTGAAGTATGTTCATGAATTATTCAAAGACCTGGTTGATTGTTTAATATTGGCTTAATAAGTGGCAGTGTAAGTGAACCCCTCAGGTAACAAGAATAACCAGTCTGCTCCAGAATAAAGGAGTATTGAGTTGGCATTTTGGATTTTAGCTGGATACTAAGAAATGGTCAGTGTTGGACTGGCAAGTAATCAAAACCATTTATTTAACTAGGATCTAGAAGACTTGGAAGAAGCTGAAGAGCCAGATATGGAAGAAGATGATGATCAAGTAGCCCCGAAAGATGAATTGTAAAGAGGAGAACTAAGTTGACATCCCAAAAACAAGACACTACATTACGGGCTGCTCCAACCAAGCAGCAAATGCATCTGGAAACTTGTAAGATTCACAACTGAAGGAGAATGTTGATTGAAAATCCAGGGATTTTTAAAAAAGTAATATTCATTGTAACATGTATGTAAATTCAAATGTCCTTTCCTTTTTGCTTTTCAATTTTTGAAAAGTGAGTTATCTTTAATAGCCCAGGTCATTTGGTGAGCCACCTATTCTTTCAGGGGAAGGGGTGGGGGATGTGATGTACTTTTTTTTGTATATTTTTTTTTTTTTTGTCACACGTGTTTTTTGGTTTGAAGCGGGTTGTAAAGTTAAAAGCATGAGTGCTGTTGTCATTACTAAACCATTTTAGTGTATGCCGCACTCATAATATCTCCTATGAAAGTTCACGTCATCCCTTTTTAAAAAAAATCCTGCCTGTAGGGTTTTTAAACACATTTGATAATTCAACAACATGTCAGGGTGTCAAACAACAGTCAAACAGGACTTTTAGCTAGTCCTCCCTGGAATGGACCATTCCTCAGTCTGGGGAGGGGCAACCACTAAGCTAAAATGCAAGGACTCTCCCCTTCACACCAGTGTTAACCATGGCTCAATGTCCTTGTATTTTGCTTTAAAGACACTTTTTTAATGCTCTGGAGTTGGGCAGGACTATGCCATCATTTCTTTGTTGTGACAACAATCATTGGTGAAGGGGAAGATAGTTTCTGCCTCCCCTCCTTAGACTAGATCCAGATGTAGTACCACCTTCTTCCCTGTTATGATACAGGGTTTTGTTCCACAATTTTCTGGTGCATTGTTCTGTGAATGTTGGGTTCTTTTCCAAGTGTACAAAATGGGTTCCAAGGCCTACTTGATGTAGTAAACCAGGACACTTATGATTATTGGCAATTAGGGAGGGCAGTTGTGTGGGGATGGGCCAAGGATGTTTGAGCTCAATCAGACTTGATAACACTTTAAACATTTCCACCATAATGTTGGAACTGAACACATTGGCCAAATAAAGTTGAAATTTTAATATTTGGTATTGCCTTTATCTTACTAACTTTATTTTTTAAACCCATGTGTAATTGAGCCCAGAATTAAAGATCTTAATTAAGAGTGAGTGTGTGTGTGTATGTATGTATGCGTTTGTGTGCACGCCCTTTAAAACTAATATGCAAGAAATTACTGTGTGGAGAATGGATTTAATGGTTCAGGGACTGAAGACCCCCTTAGGACAGTTAATGTCATTTCCCTTAAGACTAGTTTTCTTAAGCTCTTGAAGTAAGATGGATACATTCTTACCCCTCAACTCTTCAGGTTGACTTCTTTCCTTATCTGCGCTCTACTGAAACTGCTCTTATTAAGTTACTGATATTCTTTTGTTAAAATCTGATGGTCTTTTCTCAGTATCCTGATCTCTCTGCTTTATGACAGCATTGATCACCTTCTCCTGGATAGTCTTTCCTCTTTGGAGTTTCATGACACTACTTTCTCTTGGTTCATTTACCTGACTGCTTCTTCTGAATCCTTTGGGTTCATCATCTGTATTGTGCCCCCTAACTGGGTGTGGGGTATGTCCAGGGCCCTCTTATCTACACTGTCTTGGTGACCCTATAGGTTCCCTTGGGTTACTGATAAAGAGTTCTGCACTCTTTATCCAAGGCAAGTATCCCTATTAGCATTTCCTGGGTATTAGCATCTCAGACTTAATATGTCCAAAACAGAGCCCAACTTTACCTCTTTGAACTTGTCCCTACTACACTAAACTTCCCTGTTGAGGGTACCATAACCCTTCAAGTCTCCTATGTTTGCAAACTAGGATTATCCTTGACTTCTCTCTTTTTTTCACTGCACATAACTGATAAGTTACTAAATCTTCCTATTTCTATCTCTACAAAATCGCTTGAATTTGTTTCTTCTCTCTTCACACAGCCACCACCCTAGTTCGGACCTTCATCATTTTTCACTTGGATTATTACAACAACTTTCTGACTGGTATTCTTGCCTCTTAAATCTCTCCCCACTCCATCTTCCACATCAATGTTGTCAAATTCAAATGAAAATATGGACCATTTATCCATATATAAAGATGCCTGCAGGCTGCATATGAACTTAGTTTTAAAATAGGTTTTATTTTATTTTCATTTATTTTGTTAACTATTTCTCAATTACATTTTAATCTGGTTTGGGAGAGTACACTGGAGAGTACTGAGGATCACATGTGGCCTTTGGGCTTTGTGTTTGACACCTCTGCTCTATCTACGTTTCTACCAAAATGATTTACCTTAAAAGATCTGATCATGAATTTTCCTACTCAATACACTACCATGGCTTCCTACTGCCTTTAGGATAAAATGTAAACTCTTGTTTGGCTTTTAAAATCCTTCATACCCTTGGTCACCCTATCTTTCCAGCCTCATTACATATTACTCGCCTTCCCACGCTGTAGTTCAGCCAAACTGGTATGTCTTTCATTCATGGTACTCCATCTATGTCTGTGCCTTTCTACTGGAGGTCCTCATCCTGAATTCAATACCACCTTACTTCCATCTTATAGAATTTCTTCCTTCAAGATAACCACTCTAGGGATAGCTAGGTGGTGCAGTGGATAGAGCACTAACCCTGGAGTCAGGAGGACCTGAGTTCAAATCTGGCCTCAGACACTTAACACTAGCTGTGTGACCCTGGGCAAGTCACTTAACCCTGATTGCCTCACCAAAAAAAAAATAATAATCACTCAAGTACAATTATGTGAAACTTTTCCTAAATCTTCACCCCTCTCTCACCAACTGCTAGTACTCTTGCTAACTACTTAGCATTTATTCTGTATGTATTTCTTCAGTGTATACTCACATATGTCTATGTTTTCTCTGATAGAATGGAAGCTCCTTGTGAGCAGGGGTTTTTTTTTTTTTGGTCTTTGTATCCACAGCACCTGGCACATAGAAGTTTAATAAATACTGATTTCAAACTTGGTAATAACTATTGAATAGTCACAGTTAAGTATCAAGTAGTTTCTCATAATGCTTGTTAATAATAGGAGAGAGATGCCAGAGGTCATGCCTTTGAGTGTCAGAGCCCAGCAGAGACTGGAAGAGAGTTCCCTTACAAGAAGCCAGTGCTGCCACAGTAAATGAACTTGTAGCCTGAGTGCTAAAAAAGACATGCCAGGAAAAATGAGTAAACAAAACACCAAACAGAATAAGTCATATGGATTCAAAGAAAACCAGGAAGTTACTCAGATGAAAAGAATAGCTCCACAAATATAGAATTGTGGAGTAAAAAAAAAGAATTACCATAGGGATAGAAGAATGGCTGGAAGAAGTGAAACTATAAATAATGAAATTAGAAATAAGCTCTGGAGGGAAAAAATGGAAGGGAATAAATACCCTTGAACAGAAGGTGGAAAACCTTAAGTAATGGACTCCTGAAAAACAGAACAATAATATACAATTACTTAGACAATAAGAAATATTTTAACAGAGTCAAGATTTAAGAAATAGAAATTGTAAGTATCAAAAATGCCTGACTTGAAAACAAGTCAAGATAATTAAACATCAGACTCCCTGAAAACCAAACAAAAAAAGAAAAACTTGGATACCATAGTTCAAAAAATTCATTAAAGAAATCAGCTCAACTCTATTAGCACCAAAGGGCAAAGTAAAAATAGGATCTGTTGGTATCTTGAAATAAACTTAAAATAGAAGACACTCAGGAATGTCATAGCCAAATTCCAGAGCTGCTAAGTCAAAGAAAAAAGTACCAGAAGCAGCCAGGAAGAACCAAGGAATTTATAGTTAGAATCACACAAGACTATGTTGCAAGTACAACAAAAGAGGAGAAATCTTGGAATACAATAAATATTCCACAAGTTAAAAAAAAAAAGGTGTATATAATCCTATGGGGAGTGGGGAGAATGTTTAATAGAACAAAGGATATTCAAGTGTTCCTGATGAAAATACCAGAGCTGTGTAGAAACTTTGAAATGCAAACAATGGAGTCAAGAGAAAGCTAGGAAACTACATTTGAGCAAAGAGAAGGGGCTAAATGTTGCAGAAATGCCTAAGTTCTAATCCGGGTTAAGAGACATTTTCAGAATCTCACTGTCTTAAAGGGGCACTGAAAAAGTTAAGAAATATGAATACAAGTACTGACTGGTTTTGTTGGTTTTAGGAGAGAAAAGAAAGTGAAGAAGGAATACACTAAGAGATGAAGGTAGAGGAACTTATTTTCATAATTGGGGTGCATGACATGAATATGCAAATATGGAGGAAAGGGTTGGGGGAAATGAGCATCTCATACTCGACTACATAAAGGAAAGTTGAACAAATGTACAAAAGTAGTGGAGAAATATACAAACCAACAAGGAAACAAGTGGGGATGGGTGATTGGAGTTTAGTAGAATCAATGGATTAGAAAGAGGCATAAGAACCAGTGGCCACCCCTGGGATTCTCATCGAGAGAAGAGGCAGAGAAGTAGGGAGAGGCTATTTAATCTTAGATTACTATTTTTAAAAATTTATTTTGATTTATCAACAATCACTTCCATAAGGTTTTGAGTTTTAAATTTTCCCCCCTCCCTCCCCAAGATGGCACGCCATATATATATACATTCTTATTAAACAGATTTTCACATTAGTCGTGTTGTAAGGAAGAATTAAAACCAATAGGAGGAACCACCAGAAAGAGGAAACAAAACAAAACAGAAGAAAAAAATAGCAAATAGTATGCTTCCATCTGCATTCAAACTCCATAGTTCTTTCTTTGGATGTGGATAGCATTTTCCATCATGAGACTTTTGGAGATGTCTTAGATCCTTGCATTTCTGAGAAGCACTAAATCTATCAAAGTTAGTCATTGCACAACATGGCTGTTACTGTGTACAACTTTCTCTTGGTTCTGCTCACTTCACTCAGCATCAGTCCATACAAGTCTTGCTAAGTTTTTCTGAAGTCTGCCTGCTCATCATTTCTTATAGCACAATAGTATTCCATTACATTCACATAGCACAACTTGTTAAGCCATTCCCCAATTGATGGGCATCCCCTCAATTTCCAATTCTTTGCCACCACAAAAAGAACTGCTATAAATATTTTTGTACATGTGGGTCCTTTTCTCATTTTTATGATCTCTTTGGGATACAGCCTTAGAAATGCTATTGCTGATGGGGCAGCTGGGTGGCGTAGTGGATAGAGCACCGGCCCTGAAGTCAGGAGGACCAGAGTTCAAATCCGGCCTCAGCCCAAACACTTGACATGTACCAGCTGTGTGACCCTGGGCAAGTCACTTAACCCCAGCTGCCTAAGCAAAAAAAAAAAAAAAGTGCTATTGCTGAGTCAAAGGATGTTCACATTTTTATAGCCCTTTGGGCATAGTTCCAAATTGCTCTCCAAAATGGTTGGATCATTTCACAGCTCCACCAACAATGCATTAGTATTCCAATTTTCCCACATCTTCTCCAACATTTATTAGATTACTATTATTGATCATATTACTTTTTCCACCTTCTTTGCAAAGAAGAGTGTGGAGAGAAAAGTAGAAGAGTGATGAAAGTAAACACACTTGATAATTAATCATGAATGTGAATAGGATGATGAACTCCCCCATAAGATGAAATGGATTAATTGTAGTTTATGCGCTACGTTGTTTATAAGAAACACAATTCTAAAGACTCTTCCTGAGTTAAAACAAAAGGGTTGGAACAACTTGTTTTGGTGAATTCCAAAAAGCAGGGGTAGCAATCATGTTTTCAGACAAGGCAACAATAAAAATAAATATGGTTAAAATAGATGAAGAGAAACTACATTATGTTTAAAGGAAATGAATTGTAGATAATGAAATAATATCAGTTCTTAATATAATAGCATAGTATCTAAGTGTTCAAAGGAAAAGTTCATCAAATTACATAAAGAAATAGACAACAAGACTATTGTAGTTGGGGACCCAACAGGCCTTGTTTGGAGTAGGCAAACCTTACAAAAAGATAAGAAAAATTAAGGCATTAAATAGAATTTTAGAAAAGTTGTGTGACAGATTTC